AGCTTTATCCAAAGAATAGATTTACGTGAAAAAATATTGGGCTTTTATGTGAGGAAGGAGAAGATTCGTGAAAATTCATGACTCTCTCTGGTCCCATGCGATCTCAGAATGCTCCCAGGTTCCACGAGAGCAACTGAAATCCAAAACATTACAGCTCAACCCCTCTCATTCACACAATTTTTTTTAATAAATCTTCGTACTTTCCGTTTTGATCATCGTCGCGAAGTACGCACCAAATTCGGCTCAATATTGCTTACTCGTTGTAAACAAATCGATTGTTTATGCTTTGTGCGTAAAAATTCTGTTTTGACAAAGTGTAGTCCACGCATAGAGTGTTGAGGGGAAATAATGGCGTTGACATTGTGACTGGAGGTGAAGTTGATGGTTTGAGTCACAAGAATAGGGATTTGGATTACATTTTTGACCGTCTGAACGAGATGGCTCCTGCTGAGGTATAGCAGATAAAGTAATACCTGATACCACTCATGGATTTGGAGCTCATAGCAGACATGTACCGCTTTTCAAGGTTATATTGCACAACTGCCGATAGCTTACATAGAAATCTAGATGCCTAAATTTTGCCGATAGCTTACATAGAAATCTAGATGTTACCATAAGACAAGAAAATGTCGTCGTTGCTGCTATCTGGGTCGGCTCTGCAGGCTTGAAAGGAAAACATCTTTGAAGAGAGTTCTGCGGAGAAATTAAAGCACTTTGTAGTTGAGGCACGAGATATGTTTAGAACAATAACCCTTTAACATCAAGGACTTGATGTACTTGATCTGCTGCTACCCGGGGTCGTATGCGGTGAAGCGTACCTCAACTCAAGTTTGGGTAGAACCGTCTACTTAGAAGAAACTATAAATGAAACGTAACCAGACAAACATAAGACAAAATAACACAAACATGCAACTATTATAGAACTACATAACAAATGAATAATGATGCCAAAAGGATAAAAACAGAAGTAAATGATAAAAGGATATGTTTGCTAATGGACTTGCTACAATACTTTTATCCTTTTTCTAATACTTGTTTTTATGATCTAAATTGATAGAAAAGGAAACCTAAAATGTTCAAACTCCAAGTCAGAAGATATGAGTGTACCGTAGCACAAGCTTATATACCTTGATGATAGATGTTGTAGGAAGATACGAAAGAAAATGCAAATTATGCAAAATGATACATGCGTGAGCAGCCGAGAAGCGGCATGGACGATGATCTTTCTGCTATCGGTCGCTCCATCTGCGGCTCCGCGCGGATATGTAAACAAAGCGTTTTGATTACTTGTGTAATGAAGTCGTGTTCACGACACTGGGGCGACGAGTTACTGTCTCTCGCGGGGTGCCAGATCCCAACGATGAACTTGTTCACCTTGATTTCTGAGGTCGTCCAGGTGTTCCTGCCATCGCCCTATGTCCCTTCCGACTTGTATGTACTGTCTTTTGCAGTGCAGCTACGTTGTCGAAACGTGTCTTCCGCGTTTGGTACTGTGCAGAGAGCTCTGTGATGATCATCATTCCTGGGCCGAAAATCCTCAGCTATGGTCCCCGAGACCTTTTCGCAGCAGAAGCAAGGGCGCTGGGGATGCCGACACCTTCCGCTGTGACCTAACAGAGGCACACAGAGGCACTGGGGCACAATCCTTGTCTTAACGCTAGACTATATCTTGTGTCGCTCGTGACTACATAGGAATAGTGTCGATTCTGTGCCCCACAAGAAGGCGCACGTGACATTTGGTTGGGTTCATCAGGGACATCGTGCAGGTATCGTCGAGAAAGTACTTGAATCGCCCTTCCCACTTCGTAGATTTCTTCTCCTCGTACTCGATTTTCGTCCTGGGTTACTTGTATCTGACCTTCCAAATCTTGGATCTACTTCTGCGACGCTTGTATTTCGTCTTGTACTTGTCTCGGTCTATCGTCCCAATTTCCAGCGTCGGCTGATTCCAGAGGCCTCTGCGCTCTCCTAGCTTCCCCCTCTGCTTGCTGGATGACAATTTCCACTCTTTCGGTGGCCTTTTATTCTTGTTGGATACCTAATTCTTCGATTTCTTGAGGAGCCTCGCCGGTTTCCAACAATAGGTGGTCTATCGTCGTCTATGACATCTTCCTGGCTTTCCCTGGCAGACCTTTCCTCACCAACTTCCTCTTCATCGATCAGCATGAGTTCATCCTCTTGTTCTCTCTCTTCTTCCTCATCGTCCATGAGCCTTGGAACGTCCAGGTCTTGTGTTGCTTCTTCTCTCTCTGGAAGTTACTTGTCCTTACTTGTCTCTGGAGAAGTAGGAGGTGCCGCTTTTATGTTTATCTCCAGCCTTGCTCTTTTTGCCTTGACATAGAAAAGCTCCGATTCAGTTTCACGGAGGCGTTCTCGCAGACAAATCTAGAGGTGGTCGCGTTGGGCTTGATGGAACTCCTCAATTCTTGTCTTAAGATGTGCTGCCATTACTCTCTCTTCCTCTTTCAACTTTCCTATCACCTTTTCCATCTTTTGCATCTGTCCTTTCATACCCATGCAAATGATGTCGCTTAGCCACACCCTTTCCGGACTTCGCGGATCTTCTTCTATGCGCGGGAATTTTTCCAGCCATTTTGCCAGCAGAATCTAGCGAGTACACAGCTTGAGGTAACTGTCTCTCGCTGCTGCCGCCGCGCGAACTAGACGGGATGTAGTGAAGATTTGTTCGGTTGGTGCATGCTGGATCATTCGTGCTTGA